TTCAGCCAAGATCCATCTGACACTAGCAATGATATCCCTCATTACACATACTCTTCTGAATATGGCTTCAATTTCTGCCAGTTCCCTGTTGATGCTTTTGAATGATCTTCAGCAAAATTTTACTTGATATTGTTCAATAATTTTCATATTCTATTGGATCACCTTTCTTTGGAACGGGCACAAATACGGATCTCTTCCAGTCGATTGGTCAGGTTGCTGTCTTCCAAATTTTTTGGCATAGATGAGTGAGAACTTCCAGCCTTGTACCCATTTGTTGAAACATATCAGTTGGTATTCCCTCAATTCCTTGAGCCTTGTTTTTTGTCAATGTTTTCAGTGAAGCTTGGACTGCTCCCTTCTGTACCATCAGTTCTTGATCATATGCTACCTCCTGAAATGGTTGAACATATATACAGTTTATATATACTAAACTCTTCCCTCCCCACTTCACAACTACAAAACCCCCAAGCATGGGCCCATGCGTCCTCACACCCCACAGCAAGGTCTCGTTCTTACTGATCTTCCCACTTCTGTACAGTCAAAATTTAGCTCTTCCTAGTCCCACCTCCTCAAGGTCATAAACTCTGTAACTCATAAGTATTTATGTAATAGAAAAAAACTATGTTCAACTGGCTGAGATGAAGGACAGCTTAGTTCTCCAACTCTTAGTCCTTCAGCTCTTAATCCTCCAACTCTTCTTCATCTCCAGACAATGGTTTTCTGAATACAATGTCCCCACTTCATTGTCTAACTGAAAATGTTACTGATGATGGACATTGCAGGTCAGGTAGGAAGAGCAGGCAATGCCAGTGCAGACTGAAACTTGAAAGGTGGATTCTTGAGATTTCCATCAAAGCACATCATAAAGGTAGTTGCCTACTACCTACCTGTAACCACATTCAGCATTTAGTTTAATATTTAGTATTTAGTATTTGTTTAATGGAGCCCTGGTGACCCAGTGATTTAAACGTATGGCTGCTAACCAAAAGGTCAGCAGTTTGAATCCACCAGCCACTGCTTGGAAACCCTATGGGGCAGTTCTACTCTGTCCAATAGAGTCGCTATGAGTC